TATCTTCATCGCTGTTGACGGCAAGTATAGTGGTCACCTCTGCCTGGCGGACACGATCAAGGACGGCGCTGCCGCCGCGATTGCCGTTCTGCACCGCATGGGCGTCAAGACGGCCATCGTCACTGGCGACCAGCGTTCCACTGCTATGGCTGTGGCTGCCGCCGTGGGCGTTTCGCCTGACGATGTCTACGCTGGTGTGTCCCCTGACCAGAAGCAGGCTATCGTCCGTCAGCTTCAGGAGCAAGGCGAGGTTGTCGGCATGGTTGGTGACGGAATCAACGACTCTCCGGCCCTCGCGACTGCCGACGTTGGCATTGCCATGGCGAGCGGCACCGACGTTGCCATGGAAGCCGCTGACGTCGTCCTCATGCGGCCCACCGACCTCATGGACATCCCCTCTGCCCTACATCTTGCGCGGTCCATCTTTAATCGCATCAAGCTCAATCTCGCCTGGGCCTGTATGTACAACTTGATCGGCCTCCCCTTTGCCATGGGCCTCTTCCTGCCCTTCGGCTTCCACCTTCACCCCATGGCTGCTGGTGCTGCCATGGCGTGCAGCAGCGTCAGTGTCGTCGTGAGCAGCCTGCTTCTCAAGTTCTGGTCGCGTCCTGCCTGGATGAACGACGCCCTCATCGAGAGCCGTGGCGGTCGCGCCAAGGCCTCTGGCTTCAGCCTGGTTGACAGGCTCGCTGACCTGTTCAAGAGGCTGCGCACCGGCAGTAAGGAGACGGAAGGTTATGTTCCTCTTGCGGACATGAACGATCGAGACGTCTAAGGGATACATCCATGTACCAGATTTTGTGGGCGACTTTCTTTGCGTTGGATTCTGGTGTTGGGTACTAGATTAAGACAGTCTAGATTATTTACTACGATGTATACTTCACTCGAACATCATCCACTTTGTGTGTGCTCTATTGTATTGCTACACGTACGGCTAGGCCAAAGCAAAGTCAAAGGAAGAGAGCATGGTCCGTGGAAGATTGATGGGACTTGCGTCTAGTTGCACCATTCCATAAACCCCTTGGGGAAAAAAAGGCTTTTCAGGGCAAAACGCAAAACGCCACGCTCGTATCGAAGCGGAATCAACCAAGGAAGGATCAAGTCTAAAAGGCCACCGAACGCAGCAGCCAATATGGTACCTCAGACGCCCTTGAACGTCTCGCCCACGATCTGGCTGCCGCACAGGTCTGCCTCGCCCAGCAGACGGCTCCACCGCCTCACGTCCTCGATGGTGACGTTTTTGCCCTGCAGCTCCCCGGCTAGTCCGCCGACGCCAACATTCACCTGGGGCACGTCGAGCAGCATACGCACGGCGGTCTCGCCGGGCTTTTTACCGCCTTCGTCGCTGTTCTTGCTCAGCAGGATGAAGCGCAAGCCGACTTCTGTCAGTGTGACGAGGATACTGATAACGATGAGGATGATGACGATCCAGGTGATGTAGCTCATCTTGGAGTCTGCAACAGAGTCGGAGAGGATCTCGGCTAGGTCGAGGAAGACACGGCAACGTTCGTTGAGGACTTTGATGCGGGGATCGATCTCGAGGTACTCGCGGATGGCGACGTAGAGGGGGTTGAGGGTGGGTTCCGAGTCCCAGAAGAAGTTGGGCACGTCGAGGATGTTGGATGCTGGGCAGGGTTAGCTTGGTCATGGCGTGACAGGGTCCACAGTGATGCATACAGAGGTTGATATCCACGCGACTCTTAAACAGCCGGCCGAGGATCTTGAGGATCTCGGTTCGCGTCATGTTGAGCTCGCCCGTCAGTGCGAGCCTCTTCGGAACGTGTTGGGCGTCGAGCATTGTCTCGCTCATGCGCTCTTCAAAGAGACAGAGCTTGGTGCTTTGCGCGATGGCGTGGCTGATCGAGAGCTTGATCATGTGATCGCTTCGCGGGAGTAGGGTGATCATGTCGTTGAAGATACGCGGGCGTTTTATGTTCTCGCTGTATTCAAAGTGGAACTCCTCCGTCTCAAAATCCTCCTCGTTCAACGGCCGCGTGAGAAGGCTTTGGCCAGAGTCGTTCTCGGCAAAGGTCAGGTCGGCGAGAATGTCTTTCTCCTGGTTTTCGGTAAAATTCCAGAATACAACGACACCGTATGAGAAGAGAAACACTTCAGCGAACGCCTTAGCATCTGGAGCGATGCGGCTCATGGGCGACAGTGAGCGGTCATCAGGACTCGTTGTATCGTTTGAGTCGCCATTCGGCTGGGACCGTCCACGACGCAGGTCCTCGAAGTGCTGTTCCGAATCTCCGTTGGTCGGGCTCGTGCCGGTGTAGGCGTCATCTGGGAAGTATCCTCCCTGGTGACCCCTCCGCTCACTTCGCTCCAGCTCGAGGTCAAGCACAGTTTTCCCGCTGCCGGGCGTTTTGAGCATTGGCCGGCTCCGCACCCGGCAGCCTTCAGAGCCTGGGAGTAGAGGCAGCGCATAGATGGCATAAAGACAATCATCGTAGAGCTTCGTTTTGGCACCGTGCTTCTTGCGCAAGAATTCGGCCGTCGATTTCGTCTTATACGATTGAGCAGTACAGTAGGCAGTCAACCGCGCAAGCTTCTCCTTTCGCTGCACCTTGGGCATTCTCTCGGCATAGCTCTTGCCACGGATTGGGCCCCTCTTGCGCAGCAGCTCTAGTTCTTCATCCTTCAGTGGACGGCTCTCTTCCTGCTCAAGTCTTTTCGCCAGCAAAGCAGCATCGTCGTCCTCGTCCTCATCTGAGCTCTTTCGTTCGTCGATGGTTTCGGGCAAGAGGACGAGCTTCTCGCTGATCTTCGTCGTTCGTGATGGCACAATCGATTGGCCTGACCTCGATTGGACAGTTGGCAGACCTCCTCCAGCTCCTGAAGAAGAAGTGACGCGGCGTGCGCCGATGGGACCGCCTGGTCGTTGGACAGGGCCGGGTCGAGGTTGGCCAGAGGGTATGTCGGAAGAATATTGGAGGACATTGTCGACAGAGATGAAGCGCATGGGTGGCCGACCTGCACCACCTGCTCCAGTATCACGGCGCTGCGCTGCAGGACGAGGCGCCGGTCTGCTGCGGGAGTCAGTCACCTGTGGTGAATGCATGGTTAGCAGTGATCAGAGCTGTCCGCAGATTAACTACACCTACCAGGACCGAGGGACCTCGTTTTGAAGGCGCCATGTCGACCTTGTATCCAGCGGCTATTGATGGGGATTAGGGCCCTCAAATCAATCGACAGTTCTTCTCCGGCCCGATGGAGAGCATTCAGCTAGGAATTTTCGATGTGCGATGGTCCGACTGAGCTTGACAGTTCAGTTGTCGTCAATTGGTGAACACTGGCAGTTGTTGAACGACGTGATGTGTGGGGCGCTAACCGCGATGCGGTACGTCATATCGAATGTCCATACATTTACTGTCAGGCTTATGTAAGCGGCTGACCTGACCTCGATATCTGACAATTCCTGGGGATCCCACATGACACTGGCAACGACAACGAATGAAAGGTTATTCGTTTAATTACTTATTTGTCATTCTTTGACGTTGCCTTTGAAGAGCTTTAAGTTTGTTCGTCGCATTGCGCGATTGATAGACTACGGAACGAGTCACGTACATTTCGCACTCATGAAGTATTTAGGCTAGAAACCCTCTCGGGCACTTGATAATCGTAGTGATAGAATCCATTGGAGTCATTGACAAGCCCATTAGCTCCGTTTCCTGGGCTGTATATCTACTTGGTGACATCGGTTCCTGTAAAGCTGTTAGCCTCCGTTGATTCTCTACTAGTAGCTCTTCGTAACCTCGTCACTATTGGGTGTGGAACTTCAACTTATACTTGCAAGAGCCACGGTCCATTAGAGTTTCGGTATGATCATCAAACTTCTTGTTCTATCTTTGATGGGCTCACAAGAGAAAATGTTCCGAGTTTTGTGTTGCGGAGCTTGCGCGACATGCATCATAATCTCCCGGGCCCTTCCAAGCGTAGTATATACCGGAGAGCGAGGGTTAGGGTAAGGCAGGAAATATCGAGGACCCTAGTATTGTTTCTACACTGCATTCATCGGACATGTGCCAGTCCTCATCCATGGCAGACCTTTACACGTGCTGTTGCTCTTCCGCATAACACACATGACCGAGAGCTATCCCAGCCAAGACGAGTGAGAGAAGCCATACTCTGGATTCAGTATTCCAAAGCCACAATAGCCTTGTGGATGCACTGTAGCGCCATTTTGTATGCGCATCTGACAACATGATTACGACACTGCTTCTGAAGGAAGTTGTTTCTTTATAGTATGTGAAATTTCTTCATTTTTAATGAACACCACCCTTAACTGCATCATCGACGTCCTTTGGCCAGTACTGGTAAAGACGTCCGACATAAAAACTATACATGAGATGCGCCATGTACCATCTTATGCTAAACGACTTCACCACGCCAGTATCCTGGCTGGGGATAGCCACTTACAGGTACTATGAGCTATGTACGCTAACAACATAAGTTCCATGTCTGCAGATGCCCAGCAATAGAACGGCCCCCTTTTACGTGAATCCGAAGTCAGCTTGCTTGTAATTGCATTTTCCCAGCATGACTTGAATCGAACCTCAAACAATAGGTCCGGGAATCATCTCCAAGTAGTTCACCTCACGCGGACAATTGCTACCTCTTGAATTCGATCGGGGCAAATCAAAACTATCATTGCTTTGATGACATCAATCTTCACGACTGATTAATTATCTTGAAAGATGCTCGCTCGTTTAGGCAGATGCTCTCCAGCCCCAAGTATATATGCTAGCACAGAAGAAGCGCGCTGCCCCCTTGGGCTTAGGGAATCCGACCATGGTACTAATACAATAAGGGGAACGGCACCTTTCAGCCAAGCCGACGAGATGGTCGATGACGCTGATTGAAAGTGGTTCTTGAAGCACGACAGTGGTCTTGTCCGACTCGAGGAACCCAAGCAGCGGCTGCCGCTACACAACCTTTAGCCGAGCCCCAAACCGAACTCTCCATAGCAGCAGAAGCACCAAGTGCATGGCAGGGAACTCTCAAGGTATTTCGCGATCACGATACCTAGCTGGCATCTTCCTCTCCCTGCGAGAACGAGAATCGCTGCGACCGCCACTCAGCCGCGACCCGATGCTATCCTCATCCACATAAGTGTCCCCAGGGAATGGCATCGCTTCATCGTCTGAATCAGAGGGCGCAAACCGACGGCTGCGGCGATTTCGCAAGACAGGTGTTGGCGTAGCTTGCGTCTCGTCGTGATCGTCGTTGTCCATGTCGTTATCATCGATGTAATCTTCCGCTTCATCGCGCCCGCGGCGTGGAGTACTAGCCTTCAAAGCAGAGTTTGATTTCCTTCCTTTGGGCTGCGAGGGCGACTCATCGGCTTTTGCGGAGTCGCCATTAGACTTGACATCCTCCGTAGCCTTATTCGGAAGTCGTCCTCGCCGCTTGCGCAGCGGAGTGACTTGTTTGTTCAACGTGCCGTTCACTAGCCAGCCTGCAGACGTTGACGCTGATTGTCGCTGTCGGGCTCTGCCGCGAGTTGGGGTGTTCATCTCAGCGGTTTCCTCGTCGTCATCCATGACCGGGCTTTCGAGTCGTCGTCGGCTACGTCGTCGTGTGTCGCCTCGGGTCTGTTTACTCTTCTCAGCTTCTGCCACTTGGGTGTCCGTTTTGTTATCGGACTCCTCCTCCACTGTCGTTGGCTCGTAATCTTCTTCTTCTTCTTCTTCTTCAGAATCTTCAATGAGGTCTCGCTTGCGTTTGCGACCTTCAGTAGGTATTGCCAGATCACTGGCAGCTTGCACGACCTCTTCCGGCATCTGGGGTGCTTCCTTGCGCGCGCTAAGCCGTCCCCTCTTGACAGGCTTCGACTCGGACTTGGTAGCCTGTCCTCGTCCTCCACCGCGCCCGCGACCGACCCCACGCCCTCGCCCTCTGCCTCGGGTAGCACCCCGGCCCCGGCCTCGCGTTGAACCTCCTTGGACGCGGGTCTTCTTAGCTGGCAATGGCTCCACGCTCAAGCTTTCAGAGGTCACTGGACCGTCCTCTTCGGCCGTCTTGTCTTTGATCATCTTCTTAGTCAGGTTTGGGAAATTGTTGCCGTAGTTGAAAAACAGCTCCTCGCCAGCCTGGATGTTCCTCGTCGCCGAAAAGCGAATGCGATATTCGCCGTTGACGTACAGGATCTTCGGTTCGACATTGTAGGTATCCTGTTCATGATTGATGTAGCGGCTGTGATTGCCATATATAGCAGCATCGACCCAGATGCCTTCCGAGTCCAACAGACTGAAGACGTAAGAAGTAAATGAGCCTTCATCAAAGACTTCACCACGCCGTGCTTCTCTTCGAACGCCCTCGTCGTGCATGATGAGCTCGCCAGTATACTCAATGACGAATTCATGTTGTGCAATGTCCTCCAGCGTGAACAGGCCATACCCGCAGCCATCGAGTTGGCTTTTGCCAGGCGTGACTGCTTTGCAATGGCCACGCTGCAGCGCGCAATTCTGACAGCCAGTCTCCATGATAATCTCGTTGTCGCGATTGTCCGGATGCGCGCGTTCGATCACACCACACGTACCACAAAGCTGAGGATCGCACTCACGATTGAGTTGGACGCAGATGCAGTTCCTCTGCTGGCATGTCTTCCCACTCCCCGCACAGGCACACCCGGTGAATTTGTACGCGCAACATTCTGCGGTACATCGGCAGAAGCGCTCGCATAACACATTGAAAATCACGCACTTGCAGCCGTTGGCCGCAGTGCAGGGACCATCATGATGACAGGGGTCATTGACGTACCGTAGCCTGTGGTCGTGGGTATCGGTATGTTCCTGCCAGTCCCCTAGGAGGATCTTCTTGTGTCGGTCATACCAGGCAAGATTCTTTACCCTTGGCAGTTCAGGGCTCGTATCTTCGGGGAGCTGGATATCGAGCTTTTTCAACTGTCGGTGGACATCCCAACAGGCGCGATTGAGAATCTCGGCAGCCATACATTGTGGTTTAGACCGTACTCTGCCACTGCATTCGATCGATGAGAACAAAGACTTTAGCAGCGCTTCGTTGGACGCCGACCAGGGTCGCGCTTCTCGTGCACCCATTGCTTGGCCCAAGCTGCTTCCGTCTCCGTGGAGGATGAAACATTCGCGGCTACATGGCTCGATAACGGTCTGATCCGCGGCGTGCTTTTCGTGGGCGTCTCGACTCTTCGTCAGGAGCTGTTCCAACTGGCCGTTACAGTCGAGCGAGAAGTTCCTTTTCTCGTTGTTCTCGCCATAGTCGCCATGCTCGCACGAATTGCTGTAGCAGATTAAACATCCCATGATGGCGTATGTCTCTAGAAAGGCTTCTGGTGATTTGGCATCATCCTGCGTAGCGGTTTTCGCAGTCTTCTTTGATTCCACAATGTCATCGACGCTTTTGTCCAACAAGAGTATATCCCGAAGGCTGACGGCCCTTTCAGGTGAGACGCCATCATGGAAAACATGATCAAATGCCTCGGTGAACATCTTGGCTGACAGGGCGGCTTGTGGCGTGTCTGCTGGTCCGTTGCCCCGGTGGAGGCCATACAAGCTTGATTTCTGCAGCGGTGTGATAGCCATGTCGGATTGGTTACTGGCCATATGCCGGATCAGAGTCGTTCTCGTACAGTCGGGTATGGCCAGCTTTCCCAACCAGTAGTCAAGGTAAAGCGCCAGCATGGCCGTCCGCTCCTTCTTTGCTGTACGGATGACCCTCTGCTCCCGGGTTCCCATGGGCTGGAAACCGCAGCTGGCATCCATACGCTCCAGCTCCTTAAGCCAGAGGTTGTAGTTACGTTCCTCATTGGCTTCCAAGTCGCGGATGTGGGGGACGAACTTGAGCATAGTGTTTGGTGTCAGGACGTTTCTCGCGATTTCTTTGTGATGAAAACGATACTTCGGGACACGTAGTCTCTCTGTCTTGATGCAAATGGGCATGAAATGGAAAGTGCGTTGCTCCTTCTTAGAGCGTCCGTGATGCTGTATTAACATTAATTTTTAACGCTTTGGAGGGCTATACAATCCAAACGCCAAGTTAATTCTGCTTACCTTGACCTTGATCTTAATCATGTCGTTGTTACCAACCTCGACTGGAACGGGGTCGTGCTTGACGCAGCTGAACCAGTCAGTGCCTTTCAGGACGCGTTTCTCCGTCGGCTCGACCGATTTGATAGTAAATGCAACGAGATCTTGGTTGAATCTTTCTAAATCCTGGGTTCGCTCCTCAAGAGCTCGTGCGATCTTGCCAGTCGTCCACCCAACCTCATTTGGCGTATGCTGTAGGGAAGCACCTCCTCCGTTGTGGAACTGACGGTCGAGTGAGGGGGTGGTCATTTCGAATGATCCTGGCGTTTGTTTCTCGCCGACCGATGAGCCTTCCCGGTGTGAGCTTGCAGGCATATGGTGAGAAGAATGGCGTGAAAAGGTAGGTGCCATGTGTGCCTGGGAGGCTGACGTGGGATTCGTTGATTGGGGATGGGATATTGACAAGCTAGCGTTGCTTCGTCCAGGAGATGGAAATGAGACTGTGTGGACATGCTGCTGCGCCAGAGTGCTCATGTGAGGGGACGCGCTGCTGTGCCTCTCGTGGTTGATGTTCAGGTGAGATGACACAAGGCCTTGCTTGTCGACAAGGAGCATATCCCTCACGTCGGCGCGGCCATGTCCCTTGTCAGAGGCTTGACGGATTTCTGTGAAAGAGTGACTGTATGTGTTTGGAGGGTGCAGTTGCCAACGATCGCTGGACCCATGGCGTCCTTCGAATCTGGGAGTACTCCGACTTTCGTAAGGCTCTGACTCGAGGCGGCTCTCGCTGCGTTCCGTCGCTGAACCGTTGACATGAGAGGCATGAGGCGGCGATGAGTCGATAACAATAGCCTGGTGCCCTTTCGCGCCATTGACCTCGTTCCCTGGCGGCATGATCACGCGACGCTGTCGTTGGGGGCCCAAAAAGTCTTTCATGGGGAAGACAGGTTCGTCGGACTCGGAGTAACCACCCTCACTGGTAGAATCCATAGTCAAGTCGATAAGCCTGTGGATTTCGGGGTTCTTGTGAATATTCGCTCTTGAAGAGCCGAATTCACGGCGCGGCGACCCATTCTTCATTGACATTGCGAATCTGCTTGTGAGGGCCCCTTCATGGTGGCTGACGATGACGACTTGCCAAGAATGTGGCGATGAACGATCTCTTGCGTGCGAAGCCTGACGCCAGTAAAGGAGATGGATGACAGCGGCGGTGAGGCAGATTCACGAGCAGCCAGCGAGACGCGTTGAAGATGAGGTTCTGGAGATGTTGCTGAAGGATGACAATCACAGGAGCGCGTCGCTACCACCAAGCCAAGTCAGGCACGTTCGGTGGACCAGAATTTTGAATGTGGATCAATACGGGGCGCACAGCCAATCAAGTACGCCTACTTTCCAAGGGTATTGAGCTGCCAGCCGGGTGCTGGCCATGTCAGGCACCTTAGCTGCCTACCTTAGGTAGGTACCTAGGGAGGTCCTCGGCCGCCAATGATTATTCTATGCCTTGAGGAATCCAACAGCACTCATGCCCTATAACATGTGTGGTCTTTCTTGACCGGAAACTTCGTCCAGCCAGGGCTGCGTGAAAGCTTTCGTCCTAAGACTAGTGGGTCTGTCTGTGTCTTCTTTCGTTGCGAGATGCCTTCAATTCATCCCTGTACTACAGTATGAGGATTGAACCCCTGCCGCTTCTTCGTGAGTGAGCCGCAAATTTGAGAGTTTCAAGATATAGGAAGTCCGTTTTGGGGAACACCTTGGGCCGTCTTCGGACGTCTCAACAGCGTAGCGTCAACGACTCGTCTTCTTTCGCTCGCCTGCCTTTCATCTGGGATCAGATACCGCATCGAAGTAAGGCGCCGAACTGGTAGCTATGTCACGTCGCACGGGCCATCTGATCAAGAGAGCACTTCTCTTGTCGGCCGTACTCCTCTGAGCTTAGGCAAATGGAGGAAATTTCGTACGCGCACATCCTCAATTGAGATACATCTATTTTCCTTAGCTCAGAGCTGATCCGAACGCTTGAATCATATCTATATCTGGCTTAAAAAATGGCACATGTTTCGAAGCGTCGTGTTCCTCCTGTGCATCGCGGGGCTTGGTATGGTGAATTGCGCGGCCAAGACTCCACGATTGTCTCTCTATCTGGTGGTAGTCTCGTGGTTGTAGCTTCGTTCCCAGCTCCATTGGCCACCACATCAGACTCGTAATGCTGATATCAATTCAACAGAACGATTTCAATTACGCACCATGCCACTTCAGGCTACCAAAAGGGCATGGCAAATTACACGGCCTCTTAGTCCACGGCGCAGGCCGGCATCTCTCTAGCGCCGAGCGCTAATAAATCCCCCGTGGACCAGGCATGTGTCGATGACGTCCTTGTGCGGGTGCCCTGGCACTGTCTTCGATCCCCTCTCGAGCTGTTCATCGCGTCGATTCTGAGACTGTCTTCTGACGACGATCCCACAACGGCCGAACGGACAACCACACTCACTGTGAAAAACCTAAACGATTCTCCCATGTTGCTAGCCCCTGTCCGAACCAACTGCAGCAAGGCGGTGGTAAAAAGTCATCATATCCGGAACTGTCAAGCATGCGATCCATTTGCTCAGAGACATGATCACGCCTGCGCATGGCCCTCGTCTTAAGGAGCTCTCAGTCCCGGATACTCGGAACGCATCAATGGGTTTACTGCAGTGCCAAATGAAACGCAGTCAGGGCATCAGCCGCTTGGAGTAGGGCACCAAAGCCTTTACACTACATCGGTTGGAATCAAAACCAATCGAGCAATTCTGGGCATCCTCCCCCCCTCCCCCAGCGATACCAAATGTTCCCACAGAAAGCTTCTTAGACGCCCCAGGTAGATGTTATAGCAAACACGCTCTAATTATCACGCACACCCAGCACCCATCACTCTGTCTATTCATTGCACTCTAAGGTTTTGGCCATGTCAACGAGGTTGTGAATCGTGGGTTCGTGACGCTTGGGTTGACCACGGTTCTATAGCGTGCCCGACCCAAGTTTAGAAAGCTTTGCTGGTACTGGGAAATAAGTTGATGGTCAAGAGGGCCAAAGATTTCGAGACGCGGTTGGCAATGCGGCGCGATATATATCAGTGAACTTTGTCTGAATGATGAATAGAAAGGCTGCCTCGCCTCGGTCAATAGACCAACGAGGGTAGTATGTTGGGCTGTCCCATTCTCTGCCAGGGAAGGCTTGTCCTTAAAATCCCCGCTCCGGCTCGCCTGCTTCCCATAGTCTAGGCTGCAGATCCTCCAACGTGCGAACCCTTCATCGACCGGCAGCCAGCAGATGCGCAAAGGGTCGGAACATGCCATGCTAACATCAGACGAGGCCAACTTCCTGCTTCGGCGATGGCGACGGCCCATGCATCAGCAGGATGAGGAGGCAGTTTAGGAGGCAGTTTGGCCCAGCAACGGGGGGGGGGGATCAGATTTCGTCCCAATGTGGCACTGCCCCTGTCTCTCTGGTACTAGAAACAGGCCGGCGCCTTGAAATCGCATGCGATCATCATTCTCTGGGCAGCCGCATTGGGCGGCTGGTCTCAGAGAATGGAAATGACCCAGCTCTGGTTCGAACCTGATCCCAGTTGTTGATCACAGCGGTGGCTCCGGGGACCGGGTGCGGGTGGGCGCGGTAGCAAGGGATACATATGTCTCAGTTTTTGGGAAAGTCACTTGAGGCGCGAGCTGCACAGGGCCTTCGCCTAGGGTGTCCCAAACTGTACTCAGAGGAGGGGCCAAGGGCGTGTACACGGCAACGCAGACGCAGGCACCAGCCGGGGAGCCACAACACACTAAAACGACGAATGACGTCGTCAATGAGGTCGACTCCGCCGTCGCAATCCCAACCAGACCCCTACGTACAGCGGACAACCCTCCCTCCCCCCCCAAAGCCAAGCTGTCTGGGGTCACTCACATATAAACGATCGCATCACCCCCGAACGTACTTTGACATTAATCAACTTCAACCCTTTTCCACCCCGCCCGCACTCAATTATTTCTACAAGCCTCTGCTTGCGCTTTGAAGCCTGACGCCGTCCAACAGAAATTGAACTCAGTACGAACACACCGCCAAGATGCATCGCACCTACTCCATGCGCCAGACGCGGGCGCCTACCGCCTCTCAGCTTCAGGTTAGTACCCACCGATGCTGCCGGAAGTGAAGACATCATCAGCTCACCACGTTTCTTGCAGAACCCTCCTCCTCCCACGTCCTCCACCAAATCCGGTCGCCTGTTCGGTCGCGGCGGTTTTGGTAAGTTCATCGCGCTGTGTCGCCTGAAGTGCTTTACCATTTCCTGCATCATTTTCCGGAAGCGGCTTGTTCGGGGATGGACAACGCTAACCCTGGTCCTGTAGGTCATGCCATCCGCCACAAGTCTGCCGGTGCCTTCGGCCCCGACCTGGCCAAGAAACTGTCTCAGCTCGTGAAGATGGAAAAGAACGTCATGCGCAGTCTCGAGACCGTGGCCAAGGAGCGTATGGAGGTTGCTGTAAGTCGTCACTCGCGCGTCACCCTATCCACGGGTTGCTGACTTAGACCTTTTGTAGCAACAACTATCTATCTGGGGTGAGGCTGGCGACGAAGATGTTTCCGACGTCACAGACAAGCTGGGAGTTTTGCTTTACGAGATCGGCGAGCTTGAGGACCAATATGTCGACCGCTATGACCAATACCGCGTTACCATCAAGAGCATCCGTAACATCGAGGCCTCCGTGCAGCCCAGCCGAGACCGTATGTATTCGGTGCCATATATGACCTATGCACCGTTCCGCTGACTGTTCCTCAGGCAAGCAAAAGATTACGGACCAGATTGCACAGCTGAAGTACAAGGAGCCCAACTCGCCGAAGATCGTCGTCCTCGAGCAGGAGCTTGTTCGTGCCGAGGCCGAGTCGCTTGTCGCAGAGGCTCAGCTGTCCAACATCACTCGTGAGAAGATCAAGGCCGCCTACACTTACCAGTTCGATGCCTTGCGCGAGCACTGCGAGAAGGTTGCCATTATTGCTGGGTACGGCAAGCACCTTCTCGAGCTGATCGACGATACCCCCGTCACCCCCGGCGAGACCCGACAGGCCTATGACGGATACGAAGCCAGCAAGGCCATCATTCAGGACTGCGAGGACTCCCTCACCAGCTGGGTGACCTCGAACGCTGCTGTCTCCTCCAAGCTGTCTACCCGCTCCCGCACCCTGTCGACTCGCCGCCGCAACAACATCAAGGCGCGTGAGCACGACTTGTCAGGACAGGATGCTCCTCTCAACGATGATTCGTCATGGATGCCCTCGACTCGCAACAAGGAGATCGACGACTACTCCGATGAGGAGGAGCTCGATGAGGATGACCACCGCAACTCTGTACTCGAGAGCGACACTGGTCTCAATGGCGAAACCCGCGGTCGCCAACAGGAGGCAGTTGCGGCATGAAAGAGGATGCCAAGCTAATAAAAACGTCACGGTGCCTAATTTCATCGTGGCAACACTGCGATGCGGGAATGTGGTGGTAATGAGGAGCCATTTAGGTCAGAAACATGCTTGGGCATTGGGTTCGTTGGTGTTTGGTCGACGGGATTGGGGCTGGTTCAGATCATGCCCTGCACCTACTCCGGGTCACTTGGATGATAGTTTTAAGGTTTATGAATTTTCATTATGCAAAACATTCCTCTACCATCTGCTCGTGTCGTCGTTTGATTCTAAGCGTGATTTCCGTTTCACCAAGCGCGCTCCAGGGGTCCAAAAGGCCCCAAACTCCCATGTCAACTGCCACATTATGCCACCGCAGCTTCGGCGTAAGGATTGTTGTGCTTCAATTGGCTCGCAAACTCTTCAACTTCAATCTTGACGATGTGTTCTCCAGGTACCACAACAAGCCCCAAATAGCGCGAAGTCATATCCATCTTCACGCTCTCCGCGTTCGCGCCCGCCGCTCGCGCTGCATCCCCTTGTTGCTGGAACGTCGGCCGCCGGTATTCGTAGGTATGAGCAAGGACTACATTCTGGTCCTGCAGAGAAACGCTGTCAGCTCGAGTCATAAGCATGGAGTATCGGCAATGGACAAACCGGATCGGTGCACTTGAATTGGCCAAGGAACATGCGCCCGTCAGTTGCGACGACTCGAAGGTTCTTGTTGAGGAGCGAGGAGAGGAAGTCCCTCGCTGCCTCCTTGTCCATCTCCATGACGAGACCCTGGCGATGGCGCAAAGGTGTTTCGAGGGGAGCGAAGGTCAGCTGGGCAGGCTGATTTCTAGCATTGAGACGTTTGCCCCGGCTTGGGAGGTTGAGGCTCTGCTTGGTGTAGAGTGCCAAGATCTCCAGTGCATACAGTTCACTGTAACGATACCTAGCAGCCAAGAGTTCAGAGTTCCCAGTGGAAGGGGGTGGGGTAGGAGAAGAGGCGGAGAGTGGGGCCACTAATTAGATACTGGCAGGCATCAGCGTCATCATTATAAAGTCCGCTAGGTCGAGACACCAAACGCGTCGTGACTTCACGCATGTGGTTTTTGTAACCTTCACGACAACTCCTAGCAGCGCTGTGCCCATCCGTCACGGCCGCAATCGGCTCGAGGGCACATACCATAATGCTTCATCAATATTTCATCTGAGGGGAATCTTCTCCCATCACTTCACGCACCTACGAAGCTCACACGTTGTGAATCCATCCCTCACCAGGGACCGACGCCGTCATGGGTGTGAACGGCCTCTGGACGGTCCTCCAGCCCTGTGCGCGCCCGACCAATCTTGCCACTCTAAATCGAAAGCGTCTCGCTGTCGACGCCTCCATTTGGATATACCAATTTCTCAAGGCCGTGCGCGATAAGGAGGGCAACGCTCTTCGCAATTCACACGTCGTAGGCTTCTTCCGCCGCATCTGTAAGCTCCTCTGGTTTGGTATACGGCCCGTCTTCGTCTTCGACGGTGGAGCTCCCGCACTCAAGCGACAGACGATCCAAGGGCGCAAACGCCGTCGCGAGGGACGCCGCGATGACGCTGTTCGCACGGCGGGCAAGCTGCTCGCCGTGCAGATGCAGCGAATCGCCGAGGAACAGGACGAGAAGCGCAAGAGAGAGCTGGAGAGGGGCGTTGACGAGCGAGCTAGGCAGGCCGAGATGGCCGAGGAGGAAGCTGTGCCGAATGCGGATCAGCTCGTCTACGTGGGTGAGGTTGGCATGTCGCAGCAGGAGCGACAGCAAACGCGGACATTTCGCAAGCAGGATCAATATCATCTTCCTAAGCTGGATGGGGACATCTCTTCCATGGCAAGGGCAGATGATCCCAGGATCATGAGTGTGGAGGAGCTGGAAGAATACGCGAGACAGTTCAACAATGGCGAGGACCTCAATCTTTACGACTGCAGCAAGATCGACTTTAACGGTGAATTCTTCAAGAGCTTGCCGCCGCCGGATCGATACAATATTCTCAACGCCGCCCGTCTGAGAAGTCGGCTGCGAATGGGTCTGAGCAAGGAACAACTCGAGGAGATGTTCCCCAATCGGATGGATTTCTCCCGCTTTCAAATTGAGAGGGTCAAGGAAAGGAATAATTTGACACAGTTGCTGATGAAGGAAGTCGGCATGACCGGCCTCGATCTGACTATCAATGGAGGCGGTCGTATCGCGGGTGAGAGAGACCGCGAGTACATTCTCGTGAAGAACGATGGAGTCGAAGGCGGCTGGGCGCTTGGTGTCGTCAGCAAAGAGAAGGACATCGGCGAAGCTCACAAACCAATCGATATCGATGCTCTGGAGTTCAAATACCAGCAAAAAGACGAAGAACCGGAGATGGAAGAGGAGGAGGAGTTCGAAGACGTTCCTGTGCAGGGCCTTAATAGACTGCCAAAGTTATCTCATGGAACAGAGGGTCAACCCATGGATGAGGAAGATTCTCTCTTCGTTGGTGGTGACACGGCACTGAAGCTGTCAACAAAATCCCAGGAGCAAAAATCTGAGGATCTTCACCCCGAAGAAGAGGACGACATTAACCAGGCGATCGCTTTGTCGCTCCGGAGTCAACATGTCGCGAACTCTGACACCCCCGAAGTTGAGGACGTTTTCGAGGACGTGGAGCTGGCTGTTCCCCAGTGGGAACAGAAGGCAGTCCCCCAGAACAAGCCGATCGCCAGCTCGAGCGGCCGCATGGTTGCCCACATCGTCAATAACAGAGCCAGTGCTGCCGTGCCTAAACGTCGGCAAAGCAACGCCAGCAGTAGCGACAGCGATAATGATCTACAAGCTGCCCTGGCAGCTTCGCGCAAGAACAGGAAGGCTCAGCCAAAGGCGGTGCCTGGCAACATCAAGAACCCATTTGGCGGACCCTTACCATTTCCAAAGCTTGATATTGGGTCCATCTTTCCCGGCAGATCACGTCCGAGCAATCCAACAGCTTCAGAACGGCCTTCGAGTCGACGTTCGGGCGGTGATGAACCCCTGATGGGTGATCTAGACGACATGGCTGGTGGTTTCGAGCCAGAGCCTGATCCAAACGCACCTAAGCCCCTGCCTCCGTGGATGACGGACAACACCGACATTCGTGACACTATGTTGAAGGCCAAAGAAGTTGAGCAAGAAATCAATGCAGAGGACAGGGAGGCCGCAGCGGAAGAAGAGATGATGTTCCAGCGCAAGCGCCAAAACGAGACGATCGAGATTGCCTCTTCTGACGATGGGAGCGACGTAGAGGTCTTGGAGGTTGCTCCCGCACCCAAGAAAATGGCTTCCCCAGCAGAGATATCTTCTACACAAAGTTCATTGGCGCAAGAAAGCTCCGAGAAGGCCGAAGTCACTGAGACTCAAACAGTACCTGGAGGTAATTCGAGCGGCGCTCCTTCAGCTGACGAAGCCAATGAACCGGTTCCTACGATCACTCTTGGTGGAGTCGCTATTTCTAGCAAGTCCTCTGTTTCGCCTGAACCTGAATTCGAGGACATTGAAATTCCGGAGCAGGAGGATGAACATGATATTACCGTCAGGGAGCTTTCAAACACCCCCGAGCCTGTTGTGCCCGTCGCAGACATCTCAACAGCTGACAAGGAACCTGACACAACTGGTGTTGCCCATCAGGCTGATTTCGAAGAAGCACTTGCGCAGACCGCACAACCTGCGGATGAGAATGCCGAAGACAATTACAATCCGTTCGGAGATAGCGATGTCGATGAATACAGCGACCCTGAGGACGAAGAGCTCTTCGCTAGTCTCGCCCAAGAGGCAGATGAGCACGCTCGGTTCGCCAGCGAACTCAACCATAAATCAGAGCAAGAAAACCGCGAGGCCTACGAGAGGGAGCTGAAAGCGCTACGGACGCAGCAGAAGAAAGATCGGCGAGATGCCGACGAAGTGACGCAAGTCATGGTGGGTGAATGCCAGGCCCTGCTCCGGCTCTTCGGCATCCCCTACATCACGGCGCCGATGGAAGCTGAAGCTCAGTGTGCTGAGCTTGTACGTCTTGGGCTGGTGGACGGTATCGTGACAGACGATTCCGACACATTCCTTTTTGGAGGCACGCGCGTTTACAAGAACATGTTCAACAGCAACAAACTTGTTGAGTGCTACCTATCGTCGGATCTTGACAAGGAACTTTCGTTGTCACGCGAGCAGCTAGTGTCAATTGCCCTGCTGCTTGGGTCTGATTATACGGATGGCTTACCAGGCGTGGGCCCTGTCACGGCAGTTGAGATTCTCTCCGAGTTTCCAGAGTCGGAGGGCGGCCTGGCCGCCTTTTGTGACTGGTGGGCGGATGTGCAGGGACAGCGCCGACCAAAGGAAGACGATGCGCCGAACGCATTCCGGCGCAAGTTCCGCAAGAGCCAGGCGGCCAAGCTATTCCTGCCCGTGGGATTCCCCAACCCTGCGGTAAGGGAAGCGTACATGAAGCCTGAAGTAGATGACAGCCCCGAAACATTCCAGTGGGGTGTACCAAACTTGGAAGGCCTGCGGCAATACCTCATGGCCACAATCGGCTGGAGCGAAGAGCGTACGGACGAGGTGCTGGTGCCTGTCATACGTGACATGAACCGGAGGGACGTGGAGGGCACTCAGAGCAACATCACACGCTATTTTGAAGGTGGCGTCGGGACTGGTGCCAAAGAGTCGTTCGCGCCACGACAAAAACAAAAGGCAAGTAAGCGCATGGCCGAAGCGGTCAATAAACTGAGAAACACTGGCGCAAGTGTCTCAGAATCATCACCAACTACGGATACCCCGACGACATCGAGTGGGAGCAAACGGAAGCGAACGGTTCGGGCAGCGACACGGAACTCGTTGGTAGATGAGGAACCGGAGACAGGCGAGGATGATGACGAGGCAGAGGCCGCGGTGCCGCGGACGAGGGGTCGCGGCAAGAGGACGAGGGCGGATCGCTGATTGTACGTGAGCTGTGAAATGGTAGACAACTTTTGCTAGTTTGAAAGCTGTCAACGAATGATGACAAAATTCCAGCCCTCCAGGCCAATGGTGGCGCCTTGTGTCTTGCAGGTCTGTCTGTTCTCTGACAGCGACTCGTCATCCCAATTTCCCCATCTCTCGTACATAGCACAAACACGTGGCGACGAACAGACACAGGGGTGCCGAAGAGGGGCTAATGCGGCACTTGGGATCCGGGGCGACGTCTGCTTGGGTTTCACTTACAGCCATTGAGGGTTTATCGGACGATACCCCCTTCGGAGTCGGCATCCTCGACAGCAGATCGGCGGGTACCAGACGACGTAACCAGAGGTGGAGGCATCGTCAATTGGCAACGAGGACCCCCGACGGCCAGCATTTCACCTCGTCGAGCAACAGCGTTACCGTAGGATTGTGACCCACGAGCACGAGCCCGAGGAAGCGCTGTGCGCCACAAGCTTTCTTCACGTCGTGTTCAGGTGATTGACAGACAGTGAGTGGGGGAGCCACCCGTTGGCGGTGGAATGTGGGATGAGGTTACCTCAGACCTTGGACAGCGAGATAGGATGAACCCCAGCAACAGCACGTGCGCCTGTGCCGGGAATTCCACGAGAGGGAGCATGCCAGTTGGTGCGCCGTGAAGAAAGGGGGCCGATCTGGTGGCTGGGTAAGGATCAAGCTGCACATCAAGTGGGCTGGACTCCCGGCACGACGAGCTGTCCTGGGAAGGCGGTTGCCCGGAAAGCAGAGATCCTGAATATCCCTTCCGTCTCTGGCGGCGGTTCACCTGAAGTGCAGCCAAGA